TATATTTATTATTTATCATTACTTATATATTTAATAACGCGCTATGTTGAACTATGCAAGCGTTGCAGGGATGATTACAACGCAATATATGGATTCATCGCAAGAACACCGTGAACGCGGGAAATAACTTATTTAAGTATATATTTGTATTTCGTGTATACTCGTGATCGAATCCATATTATGCTTATATATATACATCATATATATTAAATATATAAGCTGTTCTCGCCTTCCAAAAAAAAAAAAAAAAAAAAAAATGCAAAGTTTGTCTAGCATGATTTACAGTGAATTCCTAAATAATTCTTCTCCAGTAAATATTTTGGATGGCGAATCACGTCGTTTATTACACATTTTTCTAATTTTCTATATTATATCAATATCTTTAAACGCCAATGTTGTCTTTTTACTCGAAAAAGAGAGAACGAATGCTCTATATTTGTATGTACATATACTTCCTCATTTTTGCTTCCAAATTATATAATATTGTATCGCATACTTACAGAGAGAGAAAGGGGAAAAAATGTGTGCGATTAACATTATAAAAACACATATGTATTTTTATGAAAGAAATATATTTTCGACACTCTCGACCAACGTGCCAATCTGGTCTAACTATGTTATCTTCGCAAGCGACAAGTCTAAGTTTTACATGGGACAAAATAAAGGCTTATTGCATACATCGAAACTATATAAATATAAAAAAAGCAATAAAATATATATAGTATCAAAATATAAATCAATCCCCGAGATATTCCTCCATTTCTCGAAGATATTTTTGAAGATAAATTATTTTTACAAGTCTACTATCTATGATTTTATTATATGCATTTTTAATAACTATACATATGTATATATGTCATAAATAAGTTATTTATATATCACTCAAATTGAAACTCATTTAATTGAAAGTTATCACTTCTGATCGAAACTAAACTTACATTTCGTTAAATAATTATTTTAAAAATACAATGCATTATAAATAGGAGTGAAGAAGGAAGAAATAATTATTTTGCGTTTTGCTTTAATAATTTGACTCTTCATATATATTTTATATATCTGATTTTCAAATGGAGTACAGATGCTTAATGAAAAAATATTCCAACATATATCATTATCATATACAAAATTTCAAAAATTTATTTAATTTCTTAGATATATTTTTTGATAATTGCAATGTCCTTACTATGGCAGAATCTGTCACACAGTATATACACGCTTAACACGCTTATTGAAAAATCGACTGTAAAATAAACGTTGTTAAGCAAAATACTTGTCATTGCATAGTATTGTGAATGAGATGATCAATATCAATAGCTACATTCACTTTATACAAATGTGCAATTCAGTTTATATATTTTACTTACATTCTATCATAATATTCTATCACACAAATATAAAAAAAAAAGTCAAGTTTATTTTTTTGCAAATGATATTTTCATTGCATGGGAAGGTGTGATTTTGAAACCTTGAAGAGCATCTTTTGCCGCCCCAGATTGGACTTCATTTTCAAATTCGACAAAAGCAATATCGTGTCGATTAGGTACCAATCGCACTTCTTTAAAGCCTGGAAATTGGTTGAACAGCATCGATAACATCATTTCACTTGTCTCATCTGGTAGATTTGTTAAGAATAATATCTGATTTGGTGGTTGCTCAGGAACAGCTGTATTGACGAGTCCTGGATGCTGAGGTACACTAGCATGATATCCAACTTGCTGCGAATGCTTTGCCTGCTCTTTTGCACGTTTTTTGGCACGTTTGGCTTCCTCGTCTGCCGCTGGAATAACTCGTTTTGGTTTCTTTGGACGTTCTGCAAAGGTACCCTTCATTTTGGCTATTACATCGCTGTCAGTTTTAGCATACTGTATCCTCTACAAATTAAAAAATGCAAAAATTATTTTTATATCTTAAAATACACATATTCAATATAAATATTGGTGTTAATCTCCAGAATACATAGATAAATGATAATGTATATATTATAATGCAAATATAAAAATAAAAATAATATAATATACACAAAAAACACTAAACGCAGAAAGAGAGTTCTGTATGATTCTTACCATCGGTTTGTCATAAAATGGAAATCCTTGCATAGATCTCAAAGCATTTGTCGCACTCGCGATTTCTTTGAAGATAACAAAAGCCTGTCCACGCATCTTGAGTGTTTTTAAAGCCACAATATCCAAAATTTGACCAAATTGAGAAAAGATTGCATATAACGACTTTTTCAGTTCCTCCTTTTTTATTTTTTCATTTAAATTATTGATATAAATGGTATTGTTCGGACGAATATCCATTTTCACTAAAACTTATAAATGTTATATATCTGCTATAGACAAAAATAATGCGTAAAGTAAATAAAAACAGGCCAAGTTTTAACTGATTGATAAAAACTATATGTATATCTAAGTAAAGCGTTAATAGAACAAATGTAGCTGATAAAATAAATATAATATATAATATATTTATAAGTGACCTTACGTGTTAAAATATTTGTATATTAATTCCTTGATCGGATTTGAAATAAAAATGATATAAACGTAAGGTTACGTTGTTCTAAAGGTTATCCGGTTGTTTGAAGCATAGATATAGTAAAAATAGATGAAACGCATATGATAAAAATGTGTCGAATGTATCGATTGGCTATCGGCTAGAGAGTTTCTTTTGAAAATAAAGCGTGATTTACACGATTCTTACTAGCTATCGAGAAACTAGTTATTTTTGATGAAAAAAATTCCTAATAACTTTATGGCCGGTAGTCATAGTCAGTTCTTATATTTAAGATCGTCTTAAGCACAATCTTAAGATGTCCTAAACCAATCACAGAGCCGTATTAGCATCTTAAGACATTACTTAAGTGCCGGTCTACAATAGATGATTTAAGCCCTAAGCCTTAAGAAATTGACTAATCACAGTCGAGTATTCTCCTCATACTTGATTGTGATTGGTCAATTTCTTAAGGCTTAGGGCTTAAATCACTGTGATTAGTCAATTTCTTAAGGCTTAGGGCTTAAATCATCTATTGTAGACCGGCACTAAGACGGTTTTGAGATAAGAACTGACTATGAATACCGGCCTATAGGCCAATTTTTTTTTCACCAAGTCCGGTTAGATGAACCGACGGTTAAAATTAGCAGGGTTCCAACTCGATTTAAAGATGTCCTATCGTTCTTTAAATATTTTCAAGATGTCTTTTGGCCTTTTCGTGCTGTCTGGGTATAAATGTCTTTTTAATGCAATTTTTAATATTTATGGAAAGCAATGGAATTTTAAACGAAATCTCGAAATGGATCGGTCTCGTAGATAGAAAGTGATACATGATCATTTATCGATGAAACTCAGATAATTCTCACTTGCGTTCATTCTCGCTCGCACGTAGCATACATGCGAATGAGAGAGAACGCAAGTGAGAATTATCTGAGTTTTGATGTAAATGGAAAGCAACTTATACCACCTCGGAAGCTGAGGCAGCTCATGCGCTTTCATGCGTTGCACAACATGGCGCGACGTTGTGGTGGGAGACCGTTCCCATGCGCGCATGAACTGCGCATGGATTGAAACGGAACGATTTTGTGCGCTCCTATGCGCATCATGCGAGAAACAGAACACACCCTCTGTAGGCTGCGTTCGATTGACCAATCAGAACCAAAATTTGTGCGCTCCTATGCGCATCATGCGAGAAACAGAACACACCCTCTGTAGGCTGCGTTCGATTGACCAATCAGAACCAAAAAATTTTTAGGACCTAATTGACTACTCACTCATGATTACTGTATATATTATGGCGACGTTGTCTCGCGCAGAAGCTTTGACAGTTGATCGACATGTGATTTTTTGACAATGTTCTTTTATAAAAGAAAAAGTTAACAAAAAGATTTGCGTTTCACACGCAGAAACAGCATGCATCTGTTCAACATTGGGCGATGCAACTACCAATTCTCTTCCCTCAATAATAGAGTTCAAGGATATCAAGAAAAAAAGATTTTTATATGCTGTGCTATCGTGCGATTTAATTGTTTATTTAAAACAGTGCCATTTATGAAACTTTGTTTCTAATACAATAAAATAAAAGCTTCAAAGTCAGTTATTGCTATTCAATCAGTGACTTGCAACTAAAAGATTTTCGTGTGCAATACGGAGAATCCTCCTGGACGAATACGTAGTAATTTCCGTCCCTGAGTTTGTCGCTTGGCTTGATATTGAAAATATCGTCATTTATGACAACGCAGTTAGTTGTATTAGGACCAGGATAAGATGGCCTGCAAAAAAGACAAGTAAAACAATAGTCAAATAAAAAACAGCCCAGTGAGCAATATGTTATCAAAAGAAATTCATAAAGTACTCAAGTTTAAGAGTCGGACTTCCGAAAACACCATCAAAATGATAATATTATGATATCAATAAGTCCTCCAATGCGTCGATTTTAGAGGAAAGAAAGACATCATATAATTGACATCTAAAAGAATTCCACAATCTGACTTCTTTTAAATATCAAAAAAATGTCACCGTTAAGAACCGTTCTATTTGTAGTACTATATTTTTGGACGAGTTTTTTAATTCATCGATTGATCAATCGCATATGATGCGCAAGTACAGCAAAGTCCTGTATTTGCTACATTTGTGCATCATGCGATTGATCAATCGATGAATTAAAAAACTCGCCCAAAAATATAATACTACAAATAGAACGGTTCTTAACGGTGACATTTTTTTGATATTTAAAAGAAGTCAGATTGTGGAATTCTTTTAGATGTCAATTATATGATGTCTTTCTTTCCTCTAAAATCGACGCATTGGAGGACTTATTGATATCATAATATTATCATTTTGATGGTGTTTTCGGAAGTCCAACCTTATATAGCTATAATTAATGGGATAACCATGGGAGGTGGCGTTGGACTGTCTGTACATGGCAAATACAGAGTCGCCACAGAGAAAACACTCTTTGCTATGCCCGAAACGGCAATAGGATTATTTCCTGATGTCGGCGGAAGTTATTTTTTGTCTAGATTGAAAGGAAAATTGGGTATCTACCTAGGACTGACAGGACATAGATTGAAAGGTAGATGATTAATTAAATTTGAAACATTGTATAAAACATACATACACATGTATATATAAATACATATTTTATCAAGGTATCGACGTACTTCTCGCTGGGATCGCAACGCATTTTGTCCCGTCAGAGAAACTCGCGGATTTAAAACACGACTTGTTAGCGTTGCAAAACACTACTATCGATACAGTTGCGGAGATCTTAAATAAATATCAACCAAAATTAAATCATGAATTCAGTTTGGCGCCTCATATGTCGCAGATAGAAAATTATTTCTCTGCTCCGTCCGTCGAAGAGATAATTGAGAGGTAAAGCATAGATATTTACAAATTGATATTTTTTAATTTATAATTTAGGAATGTGTTATTTTTTTGTGAAGGCTAAAAAAAGATAATTCAGAATGGGCGCAGAAGAATGTAGAAACACTACTTAAGATGTCTCCATCTTCTCTTAAAGTTAGCAAGAAAGCAATTGATGAAGGAAATGGAAAATCTTTGGCCGAGTGTTTAGAGATCGAATATAGATTGGCGTATACTGCCCTGAACAAAAACAGCGATTTCTACGAAGGTAATTTAATAGTTTAATTTGCGTTTAGCAAATTTCCTCCTTGTTATTGGATTGATATCTGATTTTAGGTGTCAGAGCTCTCCTAATCGACAAAGATCAAAAACCGGTATGGAAGCCGCCGTCCTTGGCCGATGTTACTGATGAATATATAAATAAGCGATTTGCAACACTTCCTGCAGAAAGAGAATTAAAATTGCGCGTTAGCAAACTGTGAAAAAAGAGTTTACTGTGAATATTGTTATAAAAAGAATAAGCAGAGAATTTTTTATATTTTAATTTTGTACAGATTGTGAGATTTATATTAAAGTTATTGATGTTATCTTCACTCTCTCTTCAGGTACTCAATTTTCCATATTTTTCATGATATGGAATATATTGTATAAATCAATTTATCAGAGATTATTTTTTAAACAAATGGCATAATATACAACTATGTAAAATATAAAATAATATATTTTATTTATGTAAAATAATGAAAGAAACATTATAAGTACTTACAACTAAGTACTATCACGCATAAAAAAATATATATTCTCATATTTTTAATTTTAATTTAATTAAACTTTTATAAAGTACGTATTACATTTTTTCAATTTTCCGGAAGCCATAAAACATACGAGATAACTATTCACCGTTAAATATAATATCGCTGACCAAAAAGAAAAAAATCTACAAAAAAAAAAACACATTTGGAATTCTTAAATAATTTATTAGTTTTATTTATCAAAATGTTTTTATTTCATTTTTCAGCACGTATTAATGGTATTCGTCTAGTGTGACTCGCAAAATGATAGGATTCCATGAAATTTGTATTGGAATTCGAAATATACAGAAAAAAGAATGACAATTTCCCCAAGAGTTGTTCGCATGTCAATGTTAAATAAAGAAAATCAAAGTCCTATCATCCGCGTGTACAATGTTTTCGAGAATATTCATCTCTATTTGTGGAAAATCTCGAATTTCTCATTTACTGCTTGGATTCTCTATCTTTTTTGAGATCGGTGAAACAGTATTCCTCTTCTATGCTGCTGAATTCATGCGAAAAATATTACAATTCCGGTATCAACATCGTTATCAGAGGAAAGTAATGTATGATGAAACTGTCAAGAATCTGTCTGTCATGTGTACAATAATAGATACGTTTAATCGATATACTGTGCGAGCCAACGGAAGCCTTCCCCGTATCCCTGTCGTTTCAGAACTGAGCACATAAATAGTTCCAGTGGACGGCCGGGTATCTCAATACGAGCGACTTTACCCTAAATGCAAAAAATTATTATAAAAACTTTAGAGTACAATAATCTTTGCGCGTTTCTTCTACTACCTAACATAGCTTCACAATGGGAGCATCATCATACTAATTTATATAACTATACCTTTCCTGTTGTTTGCCCATACAGATTGAAGAAATTCCTAAGTTCGTCCTCAGAAGCTGCAGATGGTTTATCAATTTTATTGCCTAGTACAAGAACCGGACACATGCTGAGTTGTTCGTCAGTTAATAATGCATCCAGCTCGGCTTTTGATTCTGGTAATCTTGATCTGTCACTCGCATCGACGAGAAATACTATCGCGTCAACAGCCGGAAAGTAATCCTTCCATACACGACGTGCTGGGGAGATTCAATTTGCACAGGTATAAATAACTACAATTGTAAAAAGCAACATTTCATTAAGAGTACATTTTGCATGTATACCTTGAGTATGGCCCCCCAGATCAAAAGTTGTGAATCTCATATTTCCAATAGACAATTCTTCCGATGCTAGAACATAAAAAGGACTAATGATAACTCGAAAAAAAAAAAATAATAAAAGAAGTTTAAATTTCACAATTTATTAACTACAACAGGAATATATAATCTATATTTTGTATTTTGAAACAGAAGAAATATATGTGAGACTTCATTAAATAGATATATTGAATATATTGTATAAATCAATTTATCAGAGATTATTTTTTAAACAAATTGCATAATATACAACTATGTAAAATATAAAACAATATATTTTATTTATGTAAAATAATGAAAGAAACATTATAAGTACTTACAACTAAGTACTATCACGCATAAAAAAATATATATTCTCATATTTTTAATTTTAATTTAATTAAACTTTTATAAAGTACGTATTACATTTTTTCAATTTTCCGGAAGCCATAAAACATACGAGATAACTATTCACCGTTAAATATAATATCGCTGACCAAAAAGAAAAAAATCTACAAAAAAAAAAACACATTTGGAATTCTTAAATAATTTATTAGTTTTATTTATCAAAATGTTTTTATTTCATTTTTCAGCACGTATTAATGGTATTCGTCTAGTGTGACTCGCAAAATGATAGGATTCCATGAAATTTGTATTGGAATTCGAAATATACAGAAAAAAGAATGACAATTTCCCCAAGAGTTGTTCGCATGTCAATGTTAAATAAAGAAAATCAAAGTCCTATCATCCGCGTGTACAATGTTTTCGAGAATATTCATCTCTATTTGTGGAAAATCTCGAATTTCTCATTTACTGCTTGGATTCTCTATCTTTTTTGAGATCGGTGAAACAGTATTCCTCTTCTATGCTGCTGAATTCATGCGAAAAATATTACAATTCCGGTATCAACATCGTTATCAGAGGAAAGTAATGTATGATGAAACTGTCAAGAATCTGTCTGTCATGTGTACAATAATAGATACGTTTAATCGATATACTGTGCGAGCCAACGGAAGCCTTCCCCGTATCCCTGTCGTTTCAGAACTGAGCACATAAATAGTTCCAGTGGACGGCCGGGTATCTCAATACGAGCGACTTTACCCTAAATGCAAAAAATTATTATAAAAACTTTAGAGTACAATAATCTTTGCGCGTTTCTTCTACTACCTAACATAGCTTCACAATGGGAGCATCATCATACTAATTTATATAACTATACCTTTCCTGTTGTTTGCCCATACAGATTGAAGAAATTCCTAAGTTCGTCCTCAGAAGCTGCAGATGGTTTATCAATTTTATTGCCTAGTACAAGAACCGGACACATGCTGAGTTGTTCGTCAGTTAATAATGCATCCAGCTCGGCTTTTGATTCTGGTAATCTTGATCTGTCACTCGCATCGACGAGAAATACTATCGCGTCAACAGCCGGAAAGTAATCCTTCCATACACGACGTGCTGGGGAGATTCAATTTGCACAGGTATAAATAACTACAATTGTAAAAAGCAACATTTCATTAAGAGTACATTTTGCATGTATACCTTGAGTATGGCCCCCCAGATCAAAAGTTGTGAATCTCATATTTCCAATAGACAATTCTTCCGATGCTAGAACATAAAAAAAGGACTAATGATAACCCGAAAAAAAATAATAATAATGATAATAATAAAAGAAGTTTAAATTTCACAATTTATTAACTACAACAGGAATATATAATCTATATTTTGTATTTTGAAACAGAAGAAATATATGTGAGACTTCATTATGTAGGTATAAATATAGAAAATACAATAAATTATATATTTCCATTATAAAATGGGAATGGATTAGAAAAGGTTGTCATTCATAAAAATATGCATTTTTTAGGAATTGGTAGTACAGTATAAATAGAACACAGGAGAAAGAGATAAATAAGTATAAAATTAGTTACTTGGATGTAACGTGGGTACATGTTGAGCTAAACGATCATCCTTGAGCATATGAAGCAGTGTAGTTTTGCCCGCGTTATCCAAACCTAGGAAGAGAAGTTTGCCGCTCTTTTTCCATAGTCCTGAAAACAACAGAGGAGAATCATGCAGATTAAGATCACCAACAAACTTACAAGGAAACAGAGCTTCTATAGGAAATTTATGACAACAAAAAAATATCACTTTAATTGGGTAAAACAAGAAGGGCCCGTATTCATAGTCGGTTCTTATTTCAAGACCGTCTTAA